ATGCATTTGTTTATAGTTTGTAGTCAAGTAGTCAATGAAAGTATTTAGAGAAAAGATTTATTTGGATTAAGCTACTAGTAGAAAAAAATTAAATGTGAATGAATACCTGTAAGCAAACTGGTAAGCCCTAAAGCAAAGAAATAACATTATTCTAATACAATTCGGGACATGGAAAGTGTTTTACGGCAGTATTAAAGCAAACATCACAGAAATGGCAGTTGTCAAGCAATCGAGTATTATTTTCAACAAACCAGCATTTCATTTATTGCATAATCTGTACACTTGAACCGAGGGAACTGACTTAACTGCGTTATTCAATCAAACTAGGTGACTGGGTCGAATTCCCCGGGCGAAATTGCGTCGCTGGGTCAAACTGGGTCACTGGGTCAAACTGGGTCACTGGGTCAAACTGGGTCACTGGGTCAAACTGGGTCAAGTTGGGTCACTGGGTCAAACTGGGTCACTGGGTCAACTGGGTCACTGGGTCTAACTGAAAAGAGTATGACGTGACCCAGCGACCCAGTGACCCAGTTTAATTTAGTGACCCAGGTGACCCAGTTGACCCAGTGACCCAGTGACCCAGTCCAACTCTGCTTGCCACGTGTAAATGCGCGGAAAGTGCCAGTTAAATAGAAATAGGGTAGCAAGTTTACTGGCAGAAAGTACTTTCCGCCAGTAAACTTGCCAAATGTAAATTAGGCTTTAGAAAAACTATGAAATCATTGTTTAAACATTTGTTCATTATTATTATCGTGCCGTACCTCCGTCAGGAATAACATTATAATCCGTTTTTTGATCGAAAAAATCGGTCGCATGAGTGAAAATATCAACATTTTCGGAAATTGGCCGCCATCTTGAATTCTGGACTTCCTGTTCAGATTTCGAGGTGCCAACATCGATATTCGTGTTCAGCAGGTCCAAATTAGTAAAAAACGCCTATTTGGCCAAATGTTGTCTGAAATGCCCCTAGAACCTGTTAAAACGCTGTTTATTAAAAAAGTGAACCAGTCTAACTTGAAAGACTGCGATTTCTAGACACACATTTTTGATAGCCAAGAAGAATGTGTAGATGGATTACCTACTAATAACGAGAATGCCTAATCGATGTGCAGAAATGGAAATTGTTACTCAATTTAATAACTTCGCGTAAAATGAAAATATTATTAATCTGACCAGAAATGTCAAGTGTATTAGTTTACACATTTTAAGTAATTGTTATTCAATATTACAGAAAGAGTCTAATGTTCTGAAATTCAGAAACGTTCAACATTTAATGAGAATATTAATGGTTCTGTTGCGATTAGGAAAAGTGTTAGGGAATTTAATGTCAAATTTTGGTCAATTTATCTTTATTCTGGAATAAGTATAACATCGGAACGTTGTAAATGATTTGGTGCAACTTTGTAGCGAAACAAGAAATCTAACAGTCCAAGAAAGAAGAGACATGAGTGAGTGTATATTAAAATGAAAGATTACTGCACAAGTTTCTTTCTGTTTGCAATATAAAATATCACTCTGCAGTTTTTCAATGAAAATTTACTCATCTATGATGAAACTCAACAACGATAGCGTTCCTGGAAGGTTTCCAGTTTATATGTTGCTTGTGCACTCAAACTTGTGTATTTCTTAATATTTGGCAATATTAAATGACTATTACAAATGCACTTTTTAAAGTAGATACAATCATTTGTAATAGAAAACGTACATATTTCATTTCACTGTGCGATTGTGACCAAAGATGGGAATGAATATATCATTGTAGCAAATCCTTAAATAAGGAATGAAGACAATTTATTTGTGCTAAATACATTGTAAAGTAATTTCAAAGAATCCAAGTTGCCCTATGTGGTTCATTAAATTTCTTAACACGTTTAAGCGAGATTCTGTGGTCACGAGAGCGTAAATTCTTGTTTGAATAATAACGACTCACTGTAATATATCAAAATTACTGAAAGTTTATTCTGTAGTGTAATGCTCGGAAGCAGTGTACTAGTTGCATTCACTTCAAATCCAGTTATTAAGGTCATCAATAAACTGCATTTAATTTTTTAACCAATCGCAGCTATTAAACTGTAACGCTCGCCAGGAAAGAATGCCGGTCACAGAACACCTGGTACCGGTCAAGGATGCTATATAATATAGGTACCGGTCTAGAAGCGCATTTTGTAATATCGCCAGTAGAGAATACCGGTCACATAATACTTGATGTCGGTCTACATTCGTCTATTTCATATTAATATACAGTGATATTCATGTAGAAGAAGACATTATGTCTACTTATACATGATAAAAAATCTCCTGAAAGACGCCTACTTTAATGCAACCAAAATAACTTCTTGAAACAAATAAAGATCTGGCTGTCATATTAATTATTAATTTGAATATTGTTGCTTTAGCTTCACAGAAAATAAATATCTTGTGCTCCTTTAACTGTTATCGGCACTATACCAATTGGGAAAATCAACTTTTCCTTTAGTTGAATACATCGCAGGCGAACCGAAATTAGAATAGGGAACTCAAAGCGATAATATTCAAATTAATTAATATGACAGACTCATTTGTTGTAGGTAGTTACTTTGGTTGCATAAAATTAGGCGTTTTTCAGGAGACTTTATGTAAAAGTAGACATACAATGCGATCAAAAATGAGTTGCTGTCGAGTCACCTTTGGAATTTTTGTTTACATGGGAAATCGTACTTAAATTGAACTTCCACAGGCGACTCGACAGCAACTCATTTTTGATCGCCCGTTAGAAAATTCCTATAGGAAATCCTTATGTCTACTTCTACATGAATATCACTGTATATTTCATATTAAACCATACGATTGTTTGACCGGCATCAAGTATTCTAGGGGGTAAGTTGTTCTTGTTTCACGAATTCCGTGAACACTGTCCCGTTTTCTTTTCTGAGGAATTTCCATCTTAATCCGATATAGATATAATCTATTAACAAAAGACTGATTACGCACTGATTTTGGTTTTAGGCCAGTCAAATTAGGAAAAATAGCGGAAATAATTGAAAGAAAGGTGAAAATTGGTATAGAGGTACATTATGGCTTGTATTCGAATATACTAAAAGTCGGGACCAAAACTCCAATGGCTCGAGCCGCTTTCTTGGAAAAAAGGTGCGCCAAATCACTTTTTCGCTGATATCGCGGTAACCGTGCATTCTAGCAAATGAAGTTCCATATGAAAAAATAAGGAGGATAATAAAATTTTGCATTTTTTTGTATTTTCGTTATTTCCGTCGATATTCCACATTGAATATAGAGTATAATCTTTTTTTCAGATGTAGGTGCATTACTTTCAGCGCTCGCGTGCTTTAAACATATGTTTAAAAAATTGACTGACATGGTTAAGGCCTGCTGACCACCTAAGAGAAGGAAATAATAATAATATATTTATTTTTCTACTATATAACTAAATACAAAAGATACCTACATAAGGAAACTAAGAAAAATAAATATTGCCAAAATCCGAAGTCGTTTGAACTACTTGTAATGGATATGGGGCATTTACAAAAAAATATAAATCAAACTTGACTTCATTTCATAAAAAAAATACTAAAAATAATAAACTAAACTAAACAATTCCATTACCAATTCGCGAAATAGTACATAGCGCTTTTCCAGTATCTGGAACACAAATGATTCTTCCTAGCCGGGCTCGTCTAGAGACCTTTATTCATTCACCAATTTCCAGCAACATGGTTACATTCCACTAGCTTTTTTAGAAAGATTGTAGAAATTAGATAGTTAGTAGTTACATTACAACAATAATGTCACGTTTGAATACTAATCTCACATTATGATTTATGTATTGCTCCATGGTAAGTTTTAAATGTAAATAATGTAAGAGTATTTGTTGCTAAAACTTAATTTTTGTTGTTCTTTAGGCATAAAGAAAAATAGATATTAAGTTTAAAGACAAACTCTCTTATATTATAATCTGACATAATTAAACCTTTTGAGAGCTACTGCACCAAACAATATTTATCATGTGATTTAAAGGACCTCAGTTTCGCACATCTGTTAAAGAAGATGAAGAAATATCGGTTTTCATTTCATTTCCTTGCTTTTAACAAAAAGTAATGCTCAAAACGTGGTAGTTAAGAGATTGTTCGTACTTATTGCATGAAATAAAACTATTTTCGTGAAAATAACTTCTATCGTTTCGGGTTCAAAGTGAACTATCTACTTGTTGCTATCTCGCTAAGACCTTCATAAAAAAATGCAAATGTTCAGGAAAGCTTAAAATGTGTTCCGGTCTGGATTCGAATGTCACGTAATTCTCCATTTTCTTTGACACTTGCAAACGAGCCATACCATCGAACAATTTTTTTAAGTGTATCATTTGCATACCTACATGTATGTCAACCCGCGGATGTTTTAGGTTCGAATTTCAACGTTTAGTTGCTTGCGTCCAGCGTCATGACAAATGGTTAATTTTTAGGAGACCCAGGTGGAAACTGACAGCATGTGATAGATGAACGGCTTGCATAATCGACAAAAGTTTATAGGTTTCATAAAATGATATCGTGGGAGTATAAAAATAACCGCAATGCAGCAGTGTCTCGTTTGCGATGCCAATAGATTTCACATTTTCATAACGTCTCTCGCATATCGGTTTATTATGTATAATTTCATGGTTATATCTGCGTATCCCAGTTTTACAGCCTTCTCCTATACTTATATGGAGGTTTGTGAAACTGAAGATTGTTTGTATGCAACCTTGTAATATTTTTCTGCATTTCGGTTGCAGCTGGTGTGTATAGAAATTTCTCTAGGGAAACGACGCAAAGCATATGCTCTTTACTTCATGACCATTATTGGTAAAAATATCGCAGGGGTCGTCTACATATGGAAAAGAGATATGGCCAATATCTCAAATTGCAATAT